GGGCAGTTGGATTGTTTCAGGGTTGGATGCTGCAGGAAGTCTTAAGTCATAAATCAGGTGCCGTAGAAGCTTTAAAACATTTTAACTTTCAGAAGTTGAGTTTCAGTCACTAGCAAATGAGCAGACAGAACTGTTGAGGTTGCATGAATTTGTCCAATTGGAAAATGAATCTATATGTTCAATAAAATAAGAAAGGTTTTCATTTGATTACATTCTCCCGTTCTCCCCAGGTCTGAAAATTAGATTTTACCCTCTTATTAGAATTCCAGCTGAATGGTCAAGGTGTAGGCCTTCACTTGAGACAAAATCTCAGTACATCAGTAATGTTGCCAATGCCAGGAGAAGACATGAGGACACCACTTGTTCCTCTCAGCTGCTCCATCACCCTCTGATCTTTTCAAACTCTGCTCTTGGCCGTCACATACCATTTATGTTCAGTGACCCAAGACATCAATACTTGCAGGAGGATTCATCAGCAATGATGTTCGTATTAACCAAACTGAGCTCTGACGCCTAATTTGCCTGGAATTTACATTACGTTCAGGCTTCCACACAGGTGTTTTCCATCTGTCAAAAGCTAAAACAACTCAGCTTGATGAGTTTCAACAGCACTATGAGTGCTACTTTTAATGATATTTGCATCACTCTTGATGAACACACATCATTCATTCTATAACACCTTCAATTCAACATTACAATATTTACTTGCTCTTTGATGGCACCTATTTTAGTATATATATATATACACACACACACACACAAAAATCTTAACCTTTCTCTTTCCGTTTTTAGCCATGCAACAAGAATCAAATTTAATCCCCTCGTGGTCAGTGGGTCCGCTATTTTTCCAAGAACATATTTGAGAAACTGCAAATTATATCGAGTCTTAAATTTGATTCAGGTCTGCATACAAACAGCTCCCACAGATGTTTGACATCAAGGTAGCACAACCTCATTAAAAAGGTACAGTATGTGCTACCACATGCTCTATAGTATATTTCTGGTCAGTTAGGTCTTCTCTGCTCAAAAATGTTGCCTCCAACATCTGTCCTACTTCTCAAATACATCTGGACTTGGTTATTTTTGGTGCGAAGACCTCAGAGATGAAATATGTATATACAGGGGGTATGTAAAGTATTCGTACCCCCTTTAAATGTTTCACGCTTTGTTTCATTGCAGCCATTTGTTAAAATCAAAAAAGTTAAATTTATTGCTCATTAAGTTAAACTCAGCACCCCATCTTGTCAAAAAAAAACAAATGTAGAACTGTTTGCAAATTTATTAAAAAAGAAACTGAAATATGACATGGTCATAAGTATTCAGACCCTTTGCTCAGTATTGAGAAGAAGCTCCCCTTTGAGCTATTACAGCCATGAGTCTTCTTGGGAATGATGCAACAAGTTTTTCATACCTGGATTTGGGGATCCTCTGCCATTCTTTCTTGCAGATCCTCTTTCACTGAAAAGAGGCTGCCGTTGGGGCACTCTGCCATAAAGCCCCGACTGGTGGAGGGCTGCAGTGATAGTTGATAATTTTGTGGAACTTTCTCCCATCTCCCTACTGCATCTCTGGAGCTCAGCCACAATGATCTTTGGGTTCTTCTTTCCCGCTCTCACCAAGGCTCACCGCCCACGATTGCTCAGTTTGGCTGGACGGCCAGATCTCGGAAGAGTTTGGGTTGTCCCAAACCTCTTCTATTTAAGGACTATGGAGGCCACTGTGCTTTTAGGAACCTTGAGTGCTGCATAAACTATTTTGTAACTTTGGCCAGATCTGTGCCTTGCCACAATTCTGTGTCTGTGCTCCTTGGGCATTTCCTTTGACCTCATGATTCTCATTTGATCTGGTGTTATATAGACATGTGTGTGCCTTTCCTAATCAAGTCCATAAGTTTAATTAAACAGCAGGACTCCAATGAAGGAGTAGAACCATCTTGAGGATCAGAAGAAATGGACAGCATGTGAGTTAAATATGAGAGTCAGAGCAAAGTGTCTGAACACTTATGACCATGTGGTATTTGTTTCTTTTTTAATAAATTCGGATCATTTCTACATTTGTTTTCTTCTGTCAAGATGAACAATGAACTCCTCAACAGGCAAAGCACCAACACCTGATCTCTGGCACTAAACTCCGGTTTGGAAGCTTGGCAATCATACCACTTCTTCATTCGTGGCCAGAAGAAATGGTGCAAATTCCAGTCATTGGTTTTCTGTACTTCCAAATGTCCTGATCCATCATGAGCAAGTTTTAATGGAGTGACCACCCAAAAAATGGGATCTCCAACATCTTCAGCCTGAGGAACCCACTTCCTTAGCAAATTATCATCCTGAAGGAGGAAGCACCCGGAGAGATGCTTCACTTCATCGTCTGACAGCACCACTCTTCCAAGGATGGATCAACTCTGTTCCCTCTGCAGCTCTCCACGAGACACGGACCAAGAAATCAGGAAAATGCAGTACCTTGTCCTCCATGTACCTATCTAACCCCTTTGACTCACGACCAACTGACTCCAGGAAAAAGCACAGCATTCTCATCAGGCTGTGCTGACACCAAGGGTGGGACAATTTAAGGAGCAGGCATATTTGCCCAAACACGACTACCAGCCAACTCATTGCCGAAAATCATATCAACCCCTGCCACTGGTAACGCTGGTCTCACCCCAACAGGCACTTCACCTTGCACGAAGGCACAGTCTAGATTCAGCCTATGCACCGGGACAGGCAAGACCCTCAACCCCATTCCTCGCAGCAGAATTTTATCTCCTGTATCTATCTCATTTGAAAATGGAATCTTGAACATAGGTGTAGACAGCATCTGTATCCCAGGCACTTTAGTATCACGACCAGTGTGCATTAAGAACCCCTCCGAGACAAAAGGCTGATAGGACATCAAGGCCACCAGCCATACTAGATTCTGCATGACCATCTTGCCACACTGGCCCCCCAACAGCACCAGGAGCACTCAGACAGCGCAGAAGAATTTACCACCCAGTCCCCAGCATGTCAGGTGGTGCCCGAGGCGATTTACCCGCTTCTTTGTAATGTGATCGCTACAGAGCTGCCAACTTTTAACAAAACCTTGCAGTGAGATTTTGTCGGGGGTGAATGCTACGGGGGGGGGTGAACATTACATGGAGCGAATAGGGTTACAGATGCGTCATTTTCTGTCGGCGAGGTTGGAGATGAATCAGCGCAGATTTATTTTTTGCATCAGAAATTGGAGTGTGGCGTGAGTGTGTGTGAAAACATGCAAAAGCGTGTGTCACACGGAGAAACCGTGAGAGTTAGCATCCCTGCAGCTATGTCGGCTAGCTTGACAACAACCTTCCTAACAGTCAAACATCAAGCAAGTGCAACACAAGACATGAAAGACGGCAAATAAGTTACTGAACAGTCCAGCAGAAATATAAACATGCAAAAGAACCTACAATTTCACTCATGCGGGCCTATATGATCATGAGGTCAGAATGCACACAAAATTGTACCAAATAATATACACTTGATGCAATAGGCTCCATGCTGGTGGAGCCTGAGGGTGGATCTTGACCTAATTAATTCTACTTTGAGTTAAGGAAAAATAATTATTCCATGAATTAAGATAAAATATGAATGTGAGAATATCAAATGTATGCAAGTAAATTAAGCGTTTGTAAATTAAGAAGGAACAAGCTGGTAAAAAAGGGAACCTTACAGATTTATTACTATTATAGATGAATATTCTAGTATCGTGGTATCGTATCGTAAGTATTGGGTATCAAAGTCATAATATTGGTGGACAACCATAGAGACAATATGCCTCCAAACTAATGTGAAAGTCCCTCTACCTACTGCCGGCCCAAACCAATCTACCTCACTGACCCTAGTCTTCATGCAGATTAGCAGGAGGCTTTTTAAACACTGAAACCAGTAGCACGGTCAGTTTTGGAGACACAGCTCTGGGCGTGTCCCCGAAACAAATACTCCAGCCACACACCACCCAAAAACAAAAAAGCCTCCCCCCAAAAAATGATGCAATCCAAAAGACCAAGTACTGTATTTGACCTATCCATGTAAGCTTGCGTGTCAGACAAAACCACAGTTTCTTTGTGACAACTAACAGCCTTAAACCAGTCAAATTTGGACACACGAGCCCCCACTTGTCATGATGCGGGCCGCACGGCCATGACAAAAATACAAACCAAGCAAATAGTCGGAATGTTCTTACCGAACACTGCTACAGTTTCACGTCAGTAGTTTCAGTGATGGAGGTTTGTTCATATATAGAAGGTGTGTGTTGTTTAAGCACAAACGATACTACAACTATCACTAGCAAATAGTAAAACTAGGTGTCTCAAGGCAGAGAGAGAGAGAGAGAGAGAGTGCACCTGAGACCAGAGGGCCTTTTATCAGAGTGCACTGGCACACGAAACCCATGTGTTGCCAGTGCTGCTGATTACTTCAGGTGATCCCAATCCCCTGACGACCCTCAGCCACACCCACCTGCAGGTGCACCAGCCAGAGGCGGTGAGGGTCGTCACACTAATGGACAGCTGTGACATTTTCTTCAAACATTCCTGGTCCGCAGAGGATAAATTCCTCCGACATTTTATGAAACCCTGCCTTAGACTCCATCGCCATTAACTAGTGAACTAGTGAAATGTAATGAAAACTACTGGATGGATCCAAAAGGGACTAGACTATTGTATGGAAAACAATGAAATTTGTTTGTTTTTCTTCTAAAGACTAAATGTAAAAATGACGAATCACTTTAGAAAGCGTGTATTTTAGACCCTGTTGTTTAATTGTTAATATCATTTTAAACATAACACTACACACATTTGATCATCTTTGAGGCAGAATCCCACTGCGTGGAACATGTTGGAAGTAGCGACTCTTCCTGCTGTCCTTGTGAACTTTTCTGTGCTGTCAACTCTCCATCATTTGGCGGCTGTGTTTTTGACTCCAGTGCCATTAACCAGTGTACATTTGGGCCTCAAGTAAAATGTTACAACAATTACTGTGCTGTAATGCAGATATCCAAGGGGACTAGACTATTGGATGGAAGACAACAGATGAATTGTAAGTACTTTGATGATCCAACTTAGAATGCAGTGTGAACACACAAAACGTCAGTTTTTGTCCATGACCATCTACCTTTATGATCTCCGATGCTCTGTGGGTTTGCTCTTTTCCATAACTTTATGGTTTGCAAACCGGCCACCGACGTCGGTTCATGACGTGGAATGATGTACGAACACTTAAAACCGCTCCCACAGGTGTTTCAAACTTTAGTCGAGGCAACAAGACGCAGCTGCACATCAGTAAAAACCTCCCCTACAAATCCTCACGAAAAAGGAAGAGTAGGTATGTGTTTATTATTAAGGTATGTGTTTATTAGTAACTTCCTCTTGCATGCTTGAAATACTATATTTGTATCTTTCAGGTTTTGAAACTACCACTCTGCTCAAAAATGTTGACTGGGTGGCATCTTCGATCCCAGCATCTCTCCAACAACTCTCCCACACCTGCATTTGATCTTCATGGTTGTGAAGCGTATGAAGAGGGCCAATACGTTTGGCTTTTTTTTATGACGCTGTTCTTTGTTTTGGGATTTCCTGCATCTATTGCCATCCTGTGGCAGATGTTTAAGGCTCACTGGGGAGGAAGTCCCTTCACACCAATTGATATTTTCGTGCTGAACATCTCCACCATGGACGGTGTCTACTTGTTCTTCATCCCTCTTGGAATATTGAATCATGTCATCTGGATGTATTGGCCTTTAGAGGCATTGTGGAACGGTGTCTATGCCTTGAACACATGTGGGAGACCCCTCATGATGGCTTGTATCTGTCTGGACTGTTACCTGGCTGTGGTTCATCCAATAACCTACCACAAGAGGAAAAGTCTGACTCCCAGGGTGATGATGGCTGGCATTGTTTGGATTTTGACAATTGCCTCTGGAATTGCATACTATTTTTTTCATCTGTTATACTACACCATCTTTTCCACTCTCCCATTGATAGTAGCAATGGTGATAATCTCGATCTGTGATTCTCTCATCCTCCATTCACTCATTAAATCTGACCTCAGAAGAAACATCCACCCTCAGAAGCAAAAAGCCATTCACACCCTCATCAACAGCCTGGTGATATCAGTCCTGTCTTACCTTCCCCCAGTGCTTCTAATAGTAGTTGTAAAGCCCCAGGTCAGTGAAGATATCTTCATATGTTCTATTGGTTATCCTATGACACTTAATTCCTGTATGGGATCTACTCTCATGTCATTACTCCACCTTAAAAGACATGGGCAGTTGGATTGTTTCAAGGTTGGATGCTGCAGGAAGTCTTAAGTCATAAATCATGTGCCGTAGAAGCTTTAAAACATTTTAACTTTCAGAAGTTGAGTTTCAGTCAGCTCTGAAATAACTTACATCCCAACTAAATCATATTATCATTTACAAATTCAAATCAAGACATATGTTTGTTCAATGGGATTCTTTCCCTGATTCAATTTATATAATGTTCTGTTGTTCTTGGATGTTGTTGCTCATAATCAACTGTGTTCCATGTTTGCAGAAATTATTATTTCCTTAATAAGAAAACCTATAACAATCCTATTACTTTAAAAGTCTCTTACATAGTAAAAAGCTGTACTCTTGAAACAATGCATGTATGGAACCTGTATATTCAAATGAATGTTGATATTGTGATTAAAAAAGAAACAGTTGAATGTCTTTCAATGTGAACCCGACAATAAAGCCATTGAACTCGGTTTGCTTTGATCATTCAGCGTGGTTACATGGATTCGAATAACTGGCTTAGTCGGTTTCAGTCAGCTCGGAAACAACTTACATCCCGACTAAATCATGTTATCATTTACATATTCAAATCAAGACAAATGTTTGTTCAATGGGATTCTTTCTCTAATTTAATTTATTTAATGGCATATTGTTCATAGATATTGTTGCTTATAGTCACCTGTGATACATGTTTGCACAAATTATTTATTTTCCTTAATAACAAAAAACTATATTAATCCTACTACTTAAAAAGTCTCTTCTATAGTAAAATCTTTACTCTTGAAACAATGCATTTGTGGAACCTGTATATTCAAATGAATGTTGATATTGTGATTATAAAATCAACAGATGAATGTCCTTCAATGTGAACCCGACAATAAAGCCATTGAACTCGGTTTGCTTTGATTTTTGAACGTGATATAAATGAAGTCAAATGAACGGCGCAGCACACAGGGAAGTTTAGTCTCTTTTCACTGAGCTAACTCACTAAAAGAGGAGTAGTGGGTAACTTCTATACAGTCTAAGCACTTCAATAATACATTTTAGGGCTGTCAATAGATTTTTTTTTAAATTAACTAATTAATCGCACCTTTTAACCTCCATTAATCGCGATCAATCACATTTATTGTATGTCGTTGTTGTCATAATGTTGTTTTTAATGAACGTTTTTCTTCTAAAGACTAAATCTTGTAAGTAATGACTAATCCCTTTAGAGAGTGTGTATTTTTGACACTGTTGTTTAATTGTTAATGTCATTTTAAACACAAAACTTTACACATTTGATTATCTTTGAGGCAGAATTCCACCGGATGGAACATGTTGAACTAGCAACTCTTCCTGCTGTCCTCGTGCACTTTGTTGTGCTCTCAACTCTCCATCATTCATTTTAACGGCTCTCTTTGAAGTGCCAACAATGTCCCCACATTTTGCCAGGACGTTTTCAAACTACTGTCTTTTAGGGACACAGTGATGGTCCTCTGCAGACTGTGTGCCGCGCAGGGTAACACACCGACAAACTGGAAGTAAAGAAAGTTGCGTTAAGTGCGTTATGAAGTTACTTGAACGCCGTCAAATTTTTTATAGGATTAATTCTCGGCCACATTAATCGCATAGAACAATGCATTCATTTCGACAGACATAATAAATATCCCTAACTGAATCCTGTTATTATTTGCATATGTAGGGTATGGACATTGTTGTGTCATTGTCCCACTATGATGTGTTTTACGTGATTTTTTTCTTGGTTTATTTTCTGCTGAAAATAAGTCTATGGTTGTTTTATGACATGAAGTCATTACTAGTATTTTAAGATTCAATCAGTTACAGATTAAATGTATGATAGTCCTAACTTGTTATTTTTGCTCTTTCGTGCTACCTCTTGTATATTATATGATAATCAGTTTAGACTTTTCAACCTTTTCTTCTCTTTTTCTTTCACACTATTGAATGGACAACCGTGACATTTTCTTCAAACATTCCTGTTCCCCAGAGGATGAATTCCTCTGACGTTTTATGATCCCATGTTTTGGACTCCATCGCCATTAACACATGGACATTTTGGCCACTAGTCAAATGTTATAACAACTACTGGATGGATCGAAGGGCACTACTATTGGATGGAAGACAATGGCATTCTGAACACACATGCAGGGTCCCCCCCAGATGAATATTAATTACTTTAATAATGTAGCTCGCTGTCAGGTCAGAAGAAATCCAACTTAAAATGCAGTGAAAACACATAATATGTCAGTTTATGTCTATGTCTTTCACCACCGGCCTTTACGATCTCCGATGCTCTGTGGGTTTGCTCTTTTCCATAACTTTATGGTTTGCAAACCGGCCACCAACGTCGGTTCATGACGTGGATTGATGTATGAACGAACACTTAAAACCGCTCCCACAGGTGTTTCAAACTTTAGTCGAGGCTACAAGACACAGCTGCACATCAGTAAAAACCTCCACTACAAATCCTCACGAAAAAGGTAGAGTAGGTATGTGTTTATTATTAACTAAAACCAATACACAGTCAATGTGTTCTTGTAACTTCCTCTTTTATTCTTTAAAGTACTATATTTGTGTCTTTCAGGTGTTGAAACTACCACTCTGCTCAATAATGTTGACTGGTTTGCGTCTTTATTCCCCGCATCTGTCCAATAACTCTCCCACATCTGTATTTGACATGTATGGTTGTGAAGAGTATAAAGAGGGCAAATACATTTGGCTTTTTTTTAATACGCTGTTCTTTGCTTTGGGATTTCCTGCATCTATTGCCATCCTGTGGCAGATGTTTAAGGCTCACAGGGGAGGAAGTCCCTTCACACCAAATGATTTTTTCATACTGAATGTCTCCATCATGGACGCTGTCTTCTTGTTCTTCATCCCTCTTGGATTAATGAATTATTTTATCTGGATGTATTGGCCTTTTGAAACCTTTTTTAACGGTGTCTATGCCTTGAACACACATGGGAGACCCCTCATGATGGCTTGTATCTGTCTGGACTGTTACCTGGCTGTGGTTCATCCAATAACCTACCACAAGAGGAAAAGTCTGACTCCCAGGGTGGTGATGGCTGGCATTGTTTGGATTTTGACAATTGCCTCTGGAATTCTATACTATTCTTTTTATCTGTTATTCTACACCATCTTTTCCACCCTCCCATTCATCGTAGCAATGGTGATAATCTCGATCTGTGATTCTCTCATCCTCCATTCACTCATTAAATCTGACCTCAGTAGAAACATCCACCCTCAGAAGCAAAGAGCCATTCACACCATCATCAACAGCCTGGTGATATCAGTCCTGTCTTACCTTCCCCCAGTGCTTCTAATAGCAATTGGAAGACCCCTGGTCAGTCAAGATGTCTTCATATGTTCTTTCGGTTTTTCTATGACACTTACTTCCTGTATGGGATCTACTCTCCTGTCATTGCTCCACCTTAAAAATCATGGGCAGTTGGATTGTTTCAGGGTTGGATGCTGCAGGAAGTCTTAAGTCATAAATCAGGTGCCGTAGAAGCTTTAAAACATTTTAACTTTCAGAAGTTGAGTTTCAGTCAGCTCTGAAATAACTTACATCCCGACTAAATCATATTATCATTTACAAATTCAAATCAAGACATATGTTTGTTCAATGGGATTCTTTCCCTGATTACATTTATATAATGTCATATTGTGCTTGAATTTTGTTGCTTATAATCCACTGAAATACATATTTGCTCAAAATATTTATTTTCCTAAATAAGAAAACCTATAACAATCCTATTACTTAAAAAGTCTCTATAGTAAAATCTGTACTCTTGAAACAATGCACGTATGGAACCTGTATATTCAAATGAATGTTGATATTGTGATTAACAGTTGAATGTCTTTCAATATGAACCCGATAATAAAGCCATTCAACTCTGTTTGCTTTGATTATTGAATGTAATGCAAATCAATTCAAATGAACAGCGCATTACACAGGGAAGTTTAGTCTCTTTTCACTGAGCTAACTCACTAAAAGAGGAGTAGTGGGTAACTTTTATCCGGTAACAAGGGTCCACTGCACTGGGCAACCAGTTAGCAGCACAGGCCGTTGATGGGATGACTGGTGTCATTTTCAGCTTCCATCTGGATAGAAAGAAACCTAAAACCTTTCGGCATTAACAGTAATCGTACTGAGCCATCAACGATGGATAGTAAATGAAATGAGTAGAACCCCTAAACACACAAAGAACAAAATGAACTATTGCCATTGCAATCTAGTCGACTTTCTACTTGTGTACGTGCGAATATTGATGATGGTCTTTAACACCTCAGACGGAGTCACTAGTCTCATAAAAGTACTGAAAAAATTAATAAAGAAGAAAGTGAGGAAAAATGTGAGCTGGATTAAGTCACAGACTTGTTTTTTCCACGATATATTTACATTTGGTTTCTTTCATTTGGTTCATAATGATCATATTACAAATGTAAATGATGATGGCGGGAAGGTTTATCTTTCGTGCAGTATCACTCATGCAGCTGTGCGAGTTCTAACAAAACAAATTACATAATGTTCTGAAGTATTTTATCAATATAAGGTTGTATATGGCTAACAGAATTCATCAAGACATCAAAACAGGGAAAATGAAGTTGTATTTTGTACTTTCCTCTCATTTAATTTCTCATTGTTATAATTTATTTATATTTTGAATTGCATCTATGAATTCGTTGCAATTTTATCTCACAAGTCCCTTTCTGTTACTATAATATTTTTTGATCATGATACAAGGGAGATAAGAACAAACTTTTATTGATTCACACATATGTACAAAGATAATATGATTCATATGACTTAATCAAGCCCAAAGTCAACAAAATGGATAATATAATGTCCATATAACATATGATTATTGACTTTTAGCTCTCGTATACATTTTTTGGTGCAATCAAGCTCTTGCAAATAACAGTTTTCGCACCAAAATATTTTTATCCTCTACCAAGTAGCTGTTTTTGATTATTCGTGCAATAAAACTCAGAACACAGCAGTTTGAACCATTAGGGCATTTCTTCCATCTACCGTACATCCCAAAAAAATAAGCCACAACCTGCGAGCTTTCCTGGAAACAGATGTTGCTGTTCTACCAGCGAAACACATCAGGACCAAAACCCTCCTGTGACCCGTCACGCCCGACAGCAGGGGGGCTTCACGCCCCCCAGATTCCCCAAGTAGAGCAGAGGCATGATCGCACTCCCTGCAGTCGGGGTTACCAGGATAGGTATCGCCAAAAAACATTCGTACACTTTGTCGTCACTGATGGTCAGATTGCCCGAGACGTACGCCAGGGGCGGGGGGACGTACGAGATGACGGTCATGACCACGCTGTTGGTGATGATCTGGAGGGCCTTCTTCTTCGCGGGGTGGAGGCCTCCGCCCGCACAGACGGGCCTCTTCAGAGTCCTGAGGATGGAGACGTCGCACGTGACGATGACTGGCAGCGCCACCACGTAAACGACCATGGCCCAGGCGCTGTGGATCAGCTCCTCCGCCGCCACGGCCGCCACTCCCTGGGCCGCCGTGACAGCCCACACGACGGCGGCCATGAGGAACCGCGGGGTCAGACTCTTCCTGGTGTGGTAGGTGACGGGATGGACCACGGCCAGGAAGCAGTCCAGACAGATGCAGGCCGTGAGCAGGGGTCGCCCGGCCAGGTTCAAGGCGTACAGGAAGTTGCTCAACAACTGAACGGCCCTCGCGTGCCACAGGAGGAAGTTGCACAGCCCAAACGGGACGAAAAGCAAGAAGACCAAGTCCATGACGGTGAGGTTGAGCATGAAGAAGTCGTTGGGGGAGAACGGGGTTCCTGCTTTGAGTCTTCTGTACAGAGGACGGAGGACGAGGACACACGCGGGACACCCGACCAGAGAGAGGAGAGCGCTGAGAGAAGCCCACACCATGATACCCGCCATCATGTCCCCCCGTTTCCCCCAAAGGCTCGCTGGAGTTGTGGGTTAGATTCTGAGAGCGAGGAAGCACACGGAGAAGCATTTTCTTACCAGCGGTGACACCTCGGGTAGGGAAAGAGAAGAAGACGCAAGTCCAAGATTGCTAATTTCCAGGTTTTCTCCTCGACGTTATTTCTAACGAACCACAATTTCCAGCTCACTTGGAGGATATGACCTTTGCTTTGGACAAGACTTGGTAATGAAGCAGCCAATTTGTGTATCAAATGTAAATTCTCCTAGCAATTGGAAGACCCCTGGTCAGTGAAGATATCGTCATAAGTTCTATTGCTTATCCTATGACCCTTACTTCCTGTATGGGATCTACTCTCATGTCATTACTCCACCTTAAAAGTCATGGGCAGTTGGATTGTTTCAGGGTTGGATGCTGCAGGAAGTCTTAAGTCATAAATCAGGTGCTGTAGAAGCTTAAAAACATTTTAACTTTCAGAAGTTGAGTTTGTCTTCAGCTCAAAATAACTTACATCCCGACTAAATCATATTATCATTTACATATTCAAATCAAGACATAAGTTTGCTCAATGGTATTCTTTCCCTGATTTCATGTATTTAATGTCATATTATACTTGAATGTTTTTACTTATAATCCACTGAATTACATATTTGCTCAAATTATTCATCGTCCTAAATAAGAACCTATAACAATCCTATTACTTAAAAAGTCTCTATGGTAAAATCTGTACTCTTGAAACAACGCATGTATGGAACCTGTATATTCAAATCAATGTTGATATTGTGATTAACAGTTGAATGTCTTTCAATGTGAACCCGATAATAAAGCCAATGAACTCTGTTTGCTTTGATTATTAAATGTAATGCAAAGCAATTCAAATGAACAGCGCATTACACAGGGAAGTTTAGTCTCTTTTCACTGAGCTAACTCACTAAAAGAGTAGTGGATAACTTCTATACAGTCTAGGAACTTAATAAATATCCAACTGAATCCTGATATTATTTGCATTTTAATATTTTCAGTTAAATTTTAAATGTATGATAGTCCTAAATTGTCATTTTTGCTCTTTAGTAGCACCTATTGTATATTATATGATAATGAGTTTACGCTTTTTCAACGTTTTCTTCTCTTTTTCTGTTAAATGGACAACCATAACATTTTCTTCAAACATTCCTGGTCCCCAGGGGATAAATTCTTCTGACGTATTATGATCTCCTGTTTTTGACCGGCATTAACAAGTGGACATTTTGGCCACTAGTGAAATGTTATAACAATTACTGGATGGATTTCCAAGCACTGTAGTGCAGATATCCAAGGTGACTAGACTATTGGATGGAAGCCAAAGACATTCTGAACACGCATGCACGGTCTCTCCCGGGACAATTGTAATTACTTTGATCATGTCGCTCGCTGTCAGGTCAGAAGAAATCCAACTTAAAATGCAGTGTAAACACACAAAACGTTTATGTCGATGACCATCGGCCTTTATGGCTCTCCGCTGCTCTGTGGGTTTGCTGTTTTCCATAAGTACATGGTTTAGGAAACCAGCCACTGACGTCGCTTTACGTGGAATGATGTAGGAACACTTGAAGCCGCTCCCACAGGTGTTTCAAACTTTAGTCGAGGTTACAAGACGCAGCTGCACATCAGTAAAAACCTCCCCTACAAAAGGTAGAGTATATAACAGTTGCTAACCGGCTGTTAGTTAAACAGTTAAAAATTAGATCATATATTATTAAAATGATAAAATATATGTTCTGCAATTGAGCAGACAGAACTGTTGAGGTTGCATGAATTTGACCAATTGGAAAATGCATCTATATGTTCAATGAAATAAGAAAGGTTTTCATTTGATTACATTCTTCCGTTCTTCCCAGGTCTGAAAATTAGAGTGCATTTTACCCTCTTATTAGAATTCCAGCTGAATGTCAAGGTGTAGGCCTTCACTTGAGACAAAATCTCAGTACATCAGTAATGTTGCCAATGCCAGCAGAAGACATGAGGACACCACTTGTTCCTCTCAGCTGCTCCATCACCCTCTGATCTTTTCAAACTCCGCTCTTGGCCGTCACATACCATTTATGTTCAGTGACCCAAGACATAAATACTTGCAGGATGATTCATCAGCAATGATGTTGGTCCCCAAACTGAGCTCTGACACCTAATTTGCCTGGAATTTACATTACGTTCAGGCTTCAACACAGGTGTTTTCCACCTGTCAAAAGCTAAAACAACTTAGCTTGATGAGTTTCCACAGCACTATGCGTGCTACTTTTAATGATATTTGCATCACTCTTGATGATCACACATCATTCATTCTATAACACCTTAATTTCAACATTACAATATTTACTTGCTCTTTGATGGCACCTATTCTAGTATATATACACACACACAAAAAAATCTTAACCTTTCTCTTTCCGTTTTTAGCCATGCAACGAGAATCAAATTCAATCTCCTCGTGGTCAGTGGGTCCGCTATTTTTCCATGAACATATTATTTGAGAAACTGCAAATGATATCAAGTCTTAAATTTGATTCAGGTCTGCATACAAACAGCTCCCACAGATGTTTGACATCAAGGTAGCACAACCTCATTAAAAGGTACAGTATGTGCTACTACATGCTCTATAGTATATTTCTGTCGGTTATGTCTTCTCTGCTCAAAAATGTTGCCTCCAACATCTGTCCTACTTCTCAAATACATCTGGACTTGGTTATTTTTGGTGCGAAGACCTCAGATGAAATATGTATATACAGTGGGTATGTAAAGTATTCATACCCCCTTTAAATGTTTCACGTTTTGTTTCATTGCAGCCATTTGTTAAAATCAAAAAAGTTAATTTTATTGCTCATTAAGTTAAACTCAGCACCCCATCTTGACAAAAAAAACATGTAGAAATGTTTGCAAATTTATTAAAAAAGAAACTGAAATATGACATGGTCATAAGTATTCAGACCCTTTGCTCAGTATTGAGAAGAAGCTCCCCTTTGAGCTATTACAGCCATCTTCTTGGGAATGATGCAACAAGTTTTTCATACCTGGATTTGGGGATCCTCTGCTATTCTTCCTTGCAGATCCTCTTTCACTGAAAAGAGGCTGCCGCCGGGGCACTCTGCCATAAAGCCCCGACTGGTGGAGGGCTGCAGTGATAGTTGATAATTTTGTGGAACTTTCTCCCATCTCCCTACTGCATCTCTGGAGCTCAGCCACAATGTGATCTGGTCTCACCCCAACAGGCACTTCACCTTGCACGAAGGCACAGTCTAGATTCAGCCTATGCACCGGGACAGGCAAGACCCTCAACCCCATTCCTCGCAGCAGAATTTTATCTCCTGTATCTATCTCATCTGAAAATGGAATCCTGAACATAGGTGTAGATAGCATCTGTATCCCAGGCACTTTAGTATCACGACCAGTGTGAATTAAGAACCCCTCCGAGACAAAAGGCTGATAGGACATCAAGGCCACCAGCCATACCAGATTCTGCATGACCATCTTGCCACACTGGCCCCCCCAACAGCACCAGGAACACTCAGCCAGCGCAGAAGAATTTGCCACCCAGTCCCCAGCATGTCAGGTGGTGCCTGAGGCGATTTACCCGGAAACTCTCCAAATGAACAGATGACTTAACACAATATTTCTGCACCGACTGCCACTCAGATTCACCGAGCCGGCTTTTATGAATTAGCACGTACTCATCTGCCAATCCCAGTGGTAGTTGTAACTCCACGCTCAGTAGGGTACTGTACGTGGCAACACAACTAGTTCCCTCACAAACTCCACATGAGACTGGTTGACCTTTTCCCGTGTTCTGCTGCAGATACGCTTCAGGACTCATGCCTTTAGTACATCCATGACAGGTTTAGAAGTCATATCATCAGAAGTCGCATATGCCGCAATTAACAAATTAAGTTCATTTCAACAGGTTTCGTTAAGTTTAGCCGGTAGCAAGACATCTCATTAGCGACGTTAGCTTGTAAGCTTGTTATAACACGCCTGGACATTGACGCCAGTATTAAGTAATTTCGCGTCCGCTTCTTTGTAATGTTGTGATCGCTACAGAGCTGCCAACTTTTAACAAAACCTTGCAGTGAGATTTTGTCGGGGGTGAATGCTACAGGTGGGGGGGGGGGGGGGTGAACATTACATGGAGCAAATAGGGTTACAGATGCGTCATTTTCTGTCGGCGAGGTTGGAGATGAATCAGCGCAGATTTATTTTTTGCATCAGAAATTGGAGTGTGGCGTGAGTGTGTGTGAAAACATGCAAAAGCGTGTGTCACACGGAGAAACCGTGAGAGTTAGCATCCCTGCAGCTATGTTGGCTAGCTTGACAATAACCTTCCTAACAGTCAAACATCAAGCAAGTGCAACACAAGACATGAAAGACGGCAAATAAGTTACTGAACAGTCCAGCAGAAATATAAACATGCGAAAGAACCTACAATTTCACTCATGCGGGCCTATATGATCATGAGGTCAGAATGCACACAAAATTGTACCAAATAATATACACTTGATGCAATAGGCTCCATGCTGGTGGAGCCTGAGGGTGGATCTTGACCTAATTAATTCTACTTTGAGTTAAGGAAAAATAATTATTCCATGAATTAAGATAAAATATGAATGTGAGAATATCAAATGTATGCAAGTAAATTAAGCGTTTGTAAATTAAGAAGGAACAAGCTGGTAAAAAAGGGAACCTTACAGATTTATTACGATTATAGATGAATATTCTAGTATTGTGGTATCGTATCGTAAGTATTGGGTATCAAAGTCATAATATTGGTGGACAACCATAGAGACAATATGCCTCCAAACTAATGTGAAAGTCCCTCTACCTACTGCCGGCCCAAACTAATCTACCTCACTGACCCTAGTCTTCATGCAGATTAGCAGGAGGCTTTTTAAACACTGAAACCATTAGCACGGTCAGTTTCGGGGACACAGCTCTGGGCGTGTCCCCGAAACAAATACTCCAGCCACAACCACCCAAAAACAAAAAAGCCTCCCCCCAAAAAATGACGCAATCCAAAAGACCAAGTACTGTATTTTACCTATCCATGTAAGCTTGCGTGTCAGACAAAACCACAGTTTCTTTGTGACAACTAACAGCCTTAAACCAGTCAAATTTGGACACACGAGCCCCCACTTGTCATGATGCGGGCCGCACGGCCATGACAAAAATACAAACCAAGCAAATAGTCGGAATGTTCTTACCGAACGCTGCTACAGTTTCGCGTCAGTAGTTTCAGTGATGGAGGTTTGTTCATACATAGAACGTGTGTGTTGTGTGTTGGTTAAGTGCTGCTGATTACTTCAGGTGATCCCAATCCCCTGACGACCCTCTGCCACACCCACTTGCAGGTGCACCAGCCAGAGGCGGTGAGGGTCGTCACACTAATGGACAGCTGTGACATTTTCTTCAAACATTCCTGGTCCCCAGAGGATAAATTCCTCCGACATTTTATGAAACCCTGCCTTAGACTCCATCGCCATTAACAAGTGAACTAGTGAAATGTAATGAAAACTACTGGATGGATCCAAAAGGGACTAGACTATTGTATGGAAAACAATGAAATTTGTTTGTTTTTCTTCTAAAGACTAAATGTAAAAATGACGAATCACTTTAGAAAGCGTGTATTTTAGACCCTGTTGTTTAATTGTTAATATCATTTTAAACATAACACTACACACATTTGATCATCTTTGAGGCAGAATCCAACTGCGTGGAACATGTTGGAAGTAGCGACTCTTCCTGCTGTCCTTGTGAACTTTTCTGTGCTCTCAACTCTCCATCATTTGGCGGCTGTGTTTTTGACTCCAGTGCCATTAACAAGTGGACATTTGGGCCTCAAGTAAAATGTTACAACAATTACTGTGGATTGTAAAGCCCTGTAATGCAGATGTCCAAGGGGACTAGACTATTGGATGGAAGACAACAGATGAATTGTAAGTACTTTGATGATCCAACTTAGAATGCAGTGTGAACACACAAAACGTCAGTTTATGTCCATGACCATCGACCTTTATGATCTCCGATGCTCTGTGGGTTTGCTCTTTTCCATAACTTTATGGTTTGCAAACCGGCCACCGACGTCGGTTCATGACGTGGAATGATGTGCGAACACTTAAAACCGCTCCCACAGGTGTTTCAAACTTTAGTCGAGGCTACAAGACGCAGCTGCACATCAGTAAAAACCTCCCCTACAAATCCTCACGAAAAAGGTAGAGTAGGTATGTGTTTATTATTAAGGTATGTGTTTATTATTAACTAAAACCAATACACAGTCAATGTGTTCTTGTAACTTCCTCTTGCATTCTTTAAAATACTATATTTGTGTCTTGCAGGTGTTGAAACTACCACTCTGCTCAATAATGTTGACTGGTTTGCGTCTTCATTCCCCGCATCTGTCCAATAACTCTCCCACATCTGTATTTAACATGTATGGTTGTGAAGCGTATGAAGAGGGCCAATACGTTTGGCTTTTTTTTATGACGCTGTTCTTTGTTTTGGGATTTCCTGCATCTATTGCCATCCTGTGGCAGATGTTTAAGGCTCACTGGGGAGGAAGTCTCTTCACACCAAATGATTTTTTCATACTGAATGTCTCCATCATGGACGCTGTCTTCTTGTTCTTCATCCCTTTTGGATTAATGAATAATTTTATCTGGATGTATTGGCCTTTTGAAACATTTCTTAATGGTGTCTATGCCTTGAACACATGTGGGAGACCCCTCATGATGGCTTGTATCTGTCTGGACTGTTACCTGGCTGTGGTTCATCCAATAACCTACCACAAGAGGAAAAGTCTGACTCCCAGGGTGGTGATGACTGGCATTGTTTGGATTTTGACAATAGCCTCTGGAATTATATACTATACTTTTTATCTGTTATTCTACACCATCTTTTCCACTCTCCCATTGATAGTAGCAATGGTGATAATCGCGATCTGTGATTCTCTCATCCTCCATTCACTCATTAAAAGTGACCTCGGTAGAAACATCCACCCTCAGAAGCAAAGAGCCATTCACACCCTCACCAACAGCCTGGTGATCTCAGTCCTGTCTTACCTTCCCCCAGTGCTTCTGATAGTAGTTGTAAAGCCCCAGGTCAGTGAAGATATCTTCAAATGTTCTATTGCTTATCCTATGACCCTTACTTCCTGTATGGGATCTACTCTCATGTCATTACTCCACCTTAAAAGTCATGGGCAGTTGGATTGTTTCAGGGTTGGATGCTGCAGGAAGTCTTAAGTCATAAATCAGGTGCCGTAGAAGCTTTAAAACATTTTAACTTTCAGAAGTCGAGTTTCAGTCAGCTCTGAAATAACTTACATCCCGACTAAATCATATTATCATATACAAATTCAAATCAAGACATATGTTTGTTCAATGGGATTCTTTCCCTGATTAAATTTATATAATGTCATGCTGTACTTGAATGTTGTTGCTTATAATCCACTGAATTACATATTTGCTCAAATTATTTATTTTCCTAAATAAGAAAACCGATAACAATCCTGTTACTTAAAAAGTCTCTATAGTCAAATCTGTACTCTTGAAACAATGCATGTGTGGAACCTGTATATTCAAATGAATGTTGATATTGTGATTAACAGTTGAATGTCTTTCAATGTGAACCCGACAATAAAGCCATTCAACTCCGTTTGCTTTGATTATTGAATGTAATGCAAATCAATTCAAATGAACAGCGCATTACACAGGGAAGTTTAGTCTCTTTTCACTGAGCTAACTCACTAAAAGAGGAGTAGTGGATAACTTTTATCCGGTAACAAGGGTCCACTGCACTGGGCAACCAGTTACCAGCACAGGCCGTTGATGGGATGACTGGTGTCATTTTCAGCTTCCATCTGGATAGAAAGAAACCTAAAACCTTTCGGCATTAACAGTAATCGTACTGAGCCATCAACAATGGATAGTAAATGAAATGAGTAGAAGCCTAAACACACAAAGAACAAAATGAACTATTGCCATTGCAATCTAGTCGACTTTCTACTTGTGTACGTACAAATGTTGATGATGGTCTTTAACACCTCAGTTGGAGTCATTAGTCTTATAAAAGTACTGAAAAAATTAATAAAGAAGAAAGTGAGGAAAAATGTGAGATGGATTCTAAAGTCACAGACTTGTTTTTTCCACGATATATTTACATTTGGTTTCTTTCATTTGGTTCATAATGATCATATTACAAATGTAAATGACGATGGCGGGAAGGTTTATCTTTCGTGCAGTATCACTCATGCAGCTGTGCGAGTTCTAACAAAACAAATTACATAATGTTCTGAAGTATTTTATCAATATAAGGCTGTATATGGCTAACAGAATTCATCAAGACATCAAAACAGGGAAAATGAAGTTGTATTTTGTACTTTCCTCTCATTTAATTTGTCATTGTTATAATTTATTTATATTTTGAATTGCATCTATGAATTCTTTGCAATTTTATCTCACAAGTCCCTTTCTGTTACTATAATTTTTGATCATGATACAAGGGAGATAAGAACAAACTTTTATTGATTCACACATATGTACAAAGATAATATGATTCATATAACTTAATCAAGCACAAAGTCAACAAAATGGATAATATAATGTCCATATAACATATATGATTAATTGACTTTTAGCCCTCGTATACATTTTTTGGTGCAATCAAGCTCTTGCAAATAACAGTTTTCGCACCAAAATATTTTTATCCTCTACCAAGTAGCTGTTTTTGATTATTCATGCAATAAAACTCAGAACACAGCAGTTTGAACCATTAGGGCATTTCTTCCATCTACCGTACATCCCAAAAAAATAAGCCACAACCTGCGAGCTTTCCTGGAAACAGATGTTGCTGTTCTACCAGCGAAACACATCAGGACCAAAACCCTCCTGTGACCCGTCACGCCCGACAGCAGGGGGCCTTCACGCCCCCCAGATTCCCCAAGTAGAGCAGAGGCATGATCGCACTCCCTGCAGTCGGGGTTACCAGGATAGGTATCGCCAAAAAACATTCGTACACTTTGTCGTCACTGATGGTCAGATTGCCCGAGACGTACGCCAGCACCGGGGGGACGTACGAGATGACGGTCATGACCACGCTGTTGGTGATGATCTGGAGGGCCTTCTTCTTCGCGGGGTGGAGGCCTCCGCCCGCACAGACGGGCCTCTTCAGAGTCCTGAGGATGGAGACGTCGCACGTGACGATGACGGGCAGCGCCACCACGTAAACGACCATGGCCCAGGCGCTGTGGATCAGCTCCTCCGCCGCCACGGCCGCCACTCCCTGGGCCGCCGTGACGGCCCACACGACGGCGGCCATGAGGAACCGCGGGGTCAGACTCTTCCTGGTGTGGTAGGTGACGGGATGGACCACGGCCAGGAAGCAGTCCAGACAGATGCAGGCCGTGAGCAGGGGTCGCCCGGCCAGGTTCAAGGCGTACAGGAAGTTGCTCAACAACTGAACGGCCCTCGCGTGCCACAGGAGGAAGTTGCACAGCCCGAACGGGACGAAAAGCAAGAAGACCAAGTCCATGACGGTGAGGTTGAGCATGAAGAAGTCGTTGGGGGAGAACGGGGTTCCTGCTTTGAGTCTTCTGTACAGCTGCCGGAGGACGAGGACACACGCGGGACACCCGACCAGAGAGAGGAGAGCGCTGAGAGAAGCCCACACCATGATACCCGCCATCATGTCCCCACAGTGTCCCGCCGTTTCCCCCAATGGCTCGCTGGAGTTGTGGGTTAGATTTTGAGAGCGAGGAAGCACACGGAGAAGCATTTTCTTACCAGCGGGGACACCTCGGGTAGGGAAAGAGAAGAAGACGCAACTCCAAGATTGCTAATATTTCCAGGTTTTCTCCTCGACGTTATTTCTAACGAACCACAATTTCCAGCTCACTTGGAGGATATGACCTTTGCTTTGGACAAGACTTGGTAATGAAGCAGCCAATTTGTGTATCAAATGTAAATTGTGATTTGAATATTCAAGTGACATCGAGGATCATCTTCTTCAATCTGAGCTGAGAGGCCAGCTGATTCAAGCTTTTGCAGATCACTTAATGAGTCATTATGATATAATATGCATAGGATTTGGTGAAATCATGTTTTTCGCTGCCTCATTGTAAAGTTCGAAGTCAAAGGTCAAGGGTCAACCATTACCATGCCAGGCTTAAACCTCCGGAAAAACACTTCTGTTGTACTTTACATTTGAATGATTTAACCGAATCGTGACCACGTTGAACGTATTCGTTTAAAGCTCAAATTTCAGTCTTACAACTGAAAATGCGGTTTTACTTTTGGTTCACATGAAAAATGCTGCTTTTGCTTACAGAAAATAACCTGATGCAGAACAAACATGTTTTTGATGCTTCCACTCCTCCTGCACTGTGTCCCAAACAAGGAGGACATTCTCGGTTTTAATTGACCACTTTGCGAAACAACTTGTCTATTTAAATAAATGGTGCTTCCATTGAACAGCCTTAAGATGTAAGAGTGTAAACATGAAGCAGCTTTAATAAAGAGCTGGAAAAAGCCCAGTACCATCAGTGTGAAATGATCTACACATATTATTGCTGTATGTCTTAAGATTGTTCAACGTAGGAAGGCTCAGTCTGTTTGTTTTTTAAAGAATATCCCAAATAAGTGTTTACATTAAATCAGTCGAAAGCAAAAGGTAGATGTTGTTTAATGTGTTAAAACCAAGCGATCGGGTCCACGTGGGAGAAAGAATTCTCTACAAAGCCTCTTGTCCCTCTTAGTGTTGCAGCTCCAGATGTGACCACTGGATGGCAGGAACCGGCATCGCATCACATCAGACTTCTCCCTTTGTTGCAGCTCATTATGTGTGTAGCATCAACGCATTTAGAGTAGAAACAGGGTTTATTGACACGTGGATGATTTTTCCAGAGGGAATCGTTATATTTTGGGGCTTTTTCCCATCAGCGCAGTGGTGTCGCTTCAGTGCTAGAAAACATCCTGTAAAGATTTACACAAAGTTTAGGGTTTAAAATGTTGTTATGCGCTTTTAATCAGACACACAACATATACAGATAATCCCATAGAAAATAACCATTTCTTCATATACATTTTCTTTTGGATTAACTCGCTCAAGAGCAATTGTCCTAATGTGTTCAATCAAACTAGCTACCACGATTGTGTTTTTCTTAATACAAGTATATACTACACATTTACAACATGCGACTTATCAAACAAATGAAGAAAAGGCATAATAATCTCCCAATTAAATGGTCATTATTATTCATGTCGTGTCACAATCACACAAATTGTCAACGGTAAACAAATATTCACATGTAAAAAGGTACAAAAGACACTTTTCTTCAAAAAGTAAATTACAGATAATTAATTTTATAAAACCTTCAGCACACTTTAGTCAGTTAACTTTCAGTTTCTTGCTTCGGTCTCACTTGAGATTTCTTTAAACACAGATTTCATTCAGCTCGGGCTTCAACTCAACCTCCTCATTTCACAACAACTTACTTTAGCGATTTTACCTCAGAATGCTGATCACGCTTCATTCAGTTCAACAGGGAGCGCGGCAGGAAGATTTCAGGCGTTACTGCAAACCAACAACCAGATCACACAACAGTTGTGTATAATAATAAAAAAATCACCTACAGAAAGGACACGTGGTTTTAAAGGAGGACAGCTGGCAAACATCACAGTGTGAACACCGGTACCTTATTTGTGATTGTAAAGAAGGTTTTTATAATCACATCCTCAACTGCGTGAGCTGCGCTTTGGCGCCGTTACGCTCGTGTATCTGGAGCAGAGGGGACGGGTGAAGGTTTTAAAAGGAGTCAATGGTGCAATTAAGTAGTATAGAAAAGGTCAGAGGTTGTACCTTTAAAGTTCAATTCAAGAGCAACAACAGAACCAATGCAAAAATACATTTCAGTAAATCTAAGGACTGTGTTGAATTATTCATCTCTTCTTACATTATGATGAGCAATGAGGTGCAGCAACAAAGAACTGTACAGTATATCCTTTATACAGTTATGTGAATCACGTCACTCAATAACAATTATCTTCTCAATAATGTTAGTGTTTGACAGTATTCAACTAAAAAACATGTCACCATGTTATTTTTCTGTAATTGTTACAGAAAATCCGGTTGAACTTTTGGAGATCCTTTCTGTGGAACAGAAATCTTCAAAAACCCATTTGACAAAGTGACAACATCACGACAAAAGGACCTTGGGAGTAAAACCGGCGTCGCAGATGGAGATTCGGGATCTTGAGCCTCGTTCTCCGCGTCCCGAGGCCACGTCAGCCGCTGGGGAAGCGAGAGTTGGGCGAGCGCCGTCTTTCCTACGCGGACACAATGGCCCCTTTGACTCGGTGGTGACCTCCCCGAGCCTCGACACCAGTTGACATGAAAACAGAAACGCCGTCGATCATTAACTGGGACGCCGGGGCTTCTCGCGCAGTGGAATTCCAGCTATGCATTGATTATCCCAACCGATGTTTCGGGGGGGGGCCTCCTCGCTTTCACATTCAGCCGAGAGCGTGTTGCTCACCGCCGGCAGAAGGGCTTTCTGTTCTATCGAATGGGAGCAGACGCATGTACGGACACATGCAGATTCTTCACCTTCCCGTGGAATACACTCACCAGTAGCTTGTGTTGCTTTTTGCACAGTGCAAGGACAACAAAATAAAAACTAAAAAGTTCATCGCGAGAACGCAAGCATGGAGGGAACACAGGCAGTGTCCATGTAGTGCATAGTGCAATACTCAAAATGCACAAGATCATCCTTAATTATTCGACATATTTCAAATCCCTGAATCGTTGGCTCTGACTTACGCTAAACGTACGCTGGGTCTTTAACACAAAAATACACATTTTTAGATATTTAGCGGCTTCGATGCCGCTCAACTCATCTGCTGTCCCACAAAGTAGCTGCAGAGAGCTCATACGTCAGGGCGGCACAAAGCCTCTGTCTTCTCCACACAGGACGTCTTTCTTTCAGGGAGCATGTTCACTGGCCAGATGGGCTGCGGGGGCCTTTCTCAGAACAAAATGGCTTTGAGTGTGTTGAAGACCCCCATCAGGTCGGAGACGGAGTGACCAGAATACCAAACGCCACCTTCAATACGCATCAGGGCTCGCTTTGTCGAAGAGCTCTCAGCGCCGCCTCCTCCGTTCAGCGGGACCGAACAGTAAACAGCACGAGGGAACCGGAGGACGCACAAAATACTGCTTCACGTGTGAGAACAACGACCACGTTTAACAGGTCGAATGGACGTTTAAAAAAAACAACAACAACAAAAAAGCACTCAGCATTCATTGATCCAGTGAGCTGTTGGGTTCTGTGATGAGCAGCCCCCCCCTCTCGTGACGCGGTGGTCTGGACAAATGTGCCGATTCGGTTTCGGCACTTAATGTCCCGCTGAGAGAAAGACAGGAGGACAAATAATGACGCGGACACCAGACGAATGCTACTCGGTGTCACAACTGGGGGATCCGTCGTCGACGTCGTTTGAAATCCGGGTGCTTGGCTCGATGTCGCTCCGGGTGCGACACCAGTGAGACGCGGGCTCGTCTTTGCCTTCCCTGTCCCTCAGTGCAGCGCGAGCTGCGACTCCTCTCGAGTCCATCGCGTTGCCGCCGCCCCCCCCCGGTCCATCCCCTCAAGTATATCCGCTCCAGGTTTCCGCTAGTCCCAGGTACTCCGGATTCTCCGCAGTGGGGGTCACGAACCCATTCACGTGCCTGGGCCCTCTCCCGTCTCTCTCCACTGCCTCGGGGCCGTCGGCCGCCGCCGCCGCCCCGGCCACGGCGTTGGCTTTGGCCACAAGGTCCAGGTAGTACGGGTTGTCAAAGGCTGGCGAGGTGAGGGCCCTCGGGATCTCCACGCTGTGGCCGGAGCAGAGGCCGTTGGGGGGCCGCCGGTCGGCCCGGGAGCCCTTACGGGGCAGCGTGCTGGGCCGCTCGGCGACCCCCGACCTCGGGTCCCGAATCTCCTGGTTGACGTACTCTGAACAGACGGAGGGAGGAAGAGCAGTCAGAACCAAAGAAACACGTGGCGAGATCGAAAAATGGCTGAAATGCTGACCTGGCAAGGCGTGACTGTGAACCTGCCCGCGACTCCGCCGGGGCAGCGAGTGGTGAAGGAGGTGCGGGGGGGGGAAGCCGCTCGGCCTGTCCGTCTCCAGGTCGCCCTGGCTGCCGTTGGAGTAGGCGGGGTCTCGGCAGCAGCGCCCGGGGCTGGCCGGGGGCAGCGAGGCGTCGTCCGGCGGCCCGTCCAGGAAGACCGAGTCCGACTGCCCCCCCGCCGAGGGGCTGCGGTCCAGAGTCCGGTACTGGGGAATCCACTCGCCGCTGGGGCTGCAGACCCCTAGAGGTAAGGTGGCGTACTGGCTGCGCCCGAGGGTGCTCAGGGAGGAGTACATGCTGCGGGGGCCGCCGGGGGCCGAGGACTCGCCGTCTAGACCCTGATCTCTGCTCTGCTGGGAAAGAGAGGAGACAGAGAGGACATTCAGCCAGGTGTCCGTAGCTGTGTGGAGGACGACGGGGGCGGGGTTCAGTACGGGACACTGACCCGGTGCGACTGGTGTCTGGAGGGCCCGTTGGGCGGAGCCCCGTCCACCTGAGTCCTGGAGAAGGGGTTCGTCTGAGGCACCAGGTACTCCTCAGCATCCAGCAGCTCCCTCATATTGTTCCCTTCCTCCTCCAGAAGCATCCGGAAGAACTGGCTGTCCACCGGGTTGGACATGCTCATCTGCTCGTCGTTCTGCGGGACCAAGAACGAGGCCGTCTCTTTAGAAATCCCCGTGGACGGAGAACATCCCGTTCTCACGGGGAACACGGCGTCCCGCCGCGCTCGCCTACCTGGATGACGACGTAGCGAGGCGGATCTCTCGCCATTACACTGAAATCGCTGACGAGGTCTGTGAACCGCGGCCTGCTGTCGGGGTCGATCATCCAACCTGCCGCCCCAACGCAGGAATCAGGTGTCAATCATTTCAATATAGAAACTCGTGTAAGAAGAACTATTTAAAACACTTCCTCTGCTTACTCGTAATACCCATAATCCCTCATTTATTGAACCGTGTAAAACAAACTACTGACATTTGACCATGATCATGTAGACGTCGATGGTGCAGATGAGGGGCTGGGGGAGCCGTTCTCCTTCCTCCAAGACGTCTGGGATTTCTCTGGCGGGGATCATGTCGTAGGGTTTAGCCCCAAACGTCATCAGCTCCCAGACCGTCACGCCTGAGGAGGAAATACACGCCGAAATGACACAATTTCAAACATTGAATATAGTCAGCAACACCAGTCGGTCTTTAAAGTGACTCAAAGCAGCGGGTGGGGGGGAGGGGGGGGGGAACTGACCGTAGCTCCAGACGTCGCTCTGATGAGTAAACTTCCTGTGCAGAATAGACTCGAGCGCCATCCACTTTATCGGAACCTTGAAACACAGATCGGATGCGCCGGTTCAACGTTGTGCATCTCTGTGAACGTGCCGGCGTGCCGACGCTCGCACGTCTACAGGCGTCCTACCTTCCCTCCGTCGGCGTGGTATTCGGTCTCGTCGATATCGAGCAGACGGGCCAGACCGAAGTCGGTGATCTTCACGTGGTTCGGGTTCTTCACCAGAACGTTGCGGGCGGCCAAATCCCTGTGGACCAGCCGGACGTCCTCCAGATAACTCATCCCCTGCACAAGATGGAGACATTAACGTCTCCCGCTGTCACCAGCAGCCGGTGGAGCGAACCACAAAAAGGTGAGAACTCGCTCGCACACCTTGGCGATCTGGACACACCAGTTGAGGAGGAACTGGGAGCCGATGCGGTCCTTGTTCTCCCTGACGTAGTCCAGGAGGCAGCCGTACGGCATCAGCTGCGTGACCAGCTGCACCGTGGAGGTCAGACAGATCCCCAGCAGACGGCACACGTAGGGGCTGGCCACGCCGGCCATCACGTAGGCCTCCTGCGGGCAGACGGAGGAAGGATGCTGAAGGGGTTGACCTCCGGAGGGTCACGGAAAACTCGGTCCGATCTGCTTTTTACTCACATCGAGGATCTCTTTATTGGCCTTTGGCGAGGTGTTCTCTCGTAACACCTTAATGGCCACCGGTATTTTCACGTTCTCCCCATCAGGAGCCCACACTCCCTAAAAAAAATAGAAGCCATTAAACGTCTCCCCAAGCAAAGCTGGACATAAATAGGTACCGTTAACGGACTGGCTCACACCTTGTAAACGGTACCGAAGGCGCCTGCACCCAGAACCCGGAGTTTTTTTAACTCTGTCTCCTTCAGGATGCGCATCTGAGCCTGATTGGGTGACGCGCCGCTGGGTGTCAGAGGCTCCACGAGCTGCGAGGAAGCGGATTCCCTCATTAGAAACTACGCTTACAAAAGAGCCGTCAAAAAGACGAGGTGCTCGGGGGCCCACCTCGTGTTCCTGCAGGATCCTCCTCATGGCCTCCTTCTCCCTGAGGATCTTCTGTCGCCTCAGGTAGAAGACCAGCAGGGCGAGCAGGATGAAGACCAGCACCACTCCACCCACTGCGGCCGCGATTGTTGTGCCCGGTCTAAAAAGAGAAAGAGAGCGAGAGTTCAACTATTCCTCGCGAGAATCCGGCGCCGCATCACGAAAGCATGCGAGCGGTCACGGCGGCTCACCCTGTCCTGGTGTCGACGGGGCAGCCTCTCTCGTCCATCAGGGTGCAGCTGAAACACACAAGCGCCGGGCGTGAACCCCTCCTCGCCGCATGTGTGTCTGTGTGTGTGTGTGTGTGTGATCACTTACGACAGCGTGCAGGTGGTGTTGCAGGGCAGACAGTGTCCCGTGGCGTTGCTGTACTTCCACACGGTCTGCTGATCCTCCTTCACGCCGCTGGGACAGCGCTCCACGCAAAACTCGCCGTCCTGGTAGTGTCGACACTCGGTGCATTGATCCGCCCGCTGAAGACGCACAGAGAGAAGACTTTAGGTACATGCACAGTCGCAGGTATGAAAGGTCGCAGGGCCACACATTTTTCGTTTTCACACGTTTCTAACCCTGCGCTGCATTTATTATGAAATATTCATTTGATTTATTAGGAAATATTCATCAGTGATTGTGACCCCCCCCCCATGCTGAAAAAAAATCTAATGAGCCCTTAAATGTCAGAGACCCTTTTTGAGATTTTGAGTTTAAATTTCGGGTGCGCATCAACGTCTCACCGGGCCGTGACAGGAGGCGGAGCCATTGACCGGTTGACACTCCGCGTGACAGGCGACGCACAAAGATCCGTCTGTGTATTCACGGACAGACCTGCAACACAAAAAGCAGGATTTAACACAAAGAAACATAACACAAAGTCTGTCATTAGTTGGGTGCTTTTATCTCAAGCACCCGACACGGGACAAACGTTTGTAGAAAAGGGGCCCAAGCCGCAAATAACGCCGTCCGCCTCGTCAGATGACCACAATGTTTGTTTCAACAACTATGAGTGACTGTGAGATGGAAAGTCAACTTTACACTTTATATTTTATGCGTATTAAACAAAAGGAGTACAAATATTTAATCATGAGAAGTACACATATTTTGGTATTTAAGTGCATCACCCAGTGAATAAACAGGACTCACGTTTCCTTGTAAGTGCAATAATCTAGACCAAAAGAAAAGACCAGATTTAAGAAGACGTTAATATGAGATGTTAAATCATGTTTTTTTTTGTGTTGCATGACTTGATCAGTGTGATGTTTTAGGAATGTTTTTGGACTGTGTGAAGTCTACACGTCATCACACTATATTTGTCTCACAAAAATCAATTTAGTTACTCTTTAAAGAAACTGCGGATGTTATCACATGCGTTTGTTTTGTCATCGATCGGTCGCTCAGGGGCACAATTCAAGTCAAAAGCTTTCTGATTGATTTATTGGGGCTACTTTTGACATCAAACTAAATCCTCCGGTTTATGTTTTTACTTTCTGAAAATACTTTTGGCTTTTTTTAAAACTTGTTTGTGCATTATGATCCACAGCATCACACAGAACATTGGCCTTTTTTTAAAGGATATAGCGCAGCCACACCCACGCAAACAGATATCGTCATACCCCTGGTTGATGTCACACTGCTTCACGCACTCAATGCCACGTTGGAAAGCACTGCAGGACACACACTGGCTGGGCCCCGGCCCCCAGCAGCCCCCCTTGCACAGCGGGTGACAAACACGCCCCTCTTCCTCTGAAAACATGCGGAGAAAACAGATGCACACTGAACTCTTCTTCTAACCATCACCGGAAATTAGTTGCTTCCCAAGCAACAACATCCATGCATGTTGATTAAAATGACATTTTCATCAATATGAAACAGACGGATTTGTGTGAATGCATCAGGCCGAGATCTGCAACCTGGATAACGGACGAGTGACCCCCCCCCCCTCGAGGACCTTTACAGGACCTCGGCGCTGCATTTTCGTGTGCTAACCCACCACAGAGTTGGGCGTCCTGGTTGTGGCTGACGATGCGGTGAGGCCCCTCGGTGGGATGCAGCAGGCTGTCCCAGGGCAGGGAGCTGGTGTAGCACAGCTGGGAGTTGTTGTGCAACAGGACCAAACCTCCGCTGACGCTGCGCAGTGAACGCAACCCCAGAGACCGGATGTGAAGATTCTGGACGGCCAGTGAAAACACGCCCCTGACAGGAAAGAGAGGCCAGCGGCAGTTCAATTTACTGTTCATTAATGACGTCAGCTTGTTAGACTCTCAATCCAATAAACTCACTAAGAAGGCTGTGTTCTGATATTATTTAATGCATTTTGATAGATATCAAACACGACTTGAACCCAGCCTCACAGGTATGAGAATCGTTATCTTTTGGTTTGCAATGTGGTTGAAAATACTACTGTACAAGAAGAAAAAAAAAGATTGTGATTAGTGTCTATTTTCAGTTGAGGAAATATGAAAGAAAAACAGTGAAGCAGACGGTAAATTTACAATAAAGAAACAATAATTACCCCGAACGTGCTGTCAAACATTGTCAGACAATCAGATCTCACATTTGTCACTTTGACCGAGTTCGCGCACGCTGCACTAGAGGGAACGTTATCCTGCCTGCAGCACGCTGCTGCAAGATGGAGCAGCTGGGCCGGCTAATAATTAACCTTAATAATCCTGAAAGTGAACCAACGGCCTCAACTGAACGTCGAAACAAAGACAGAGAGACAGTTCGGAAGTCTTACTTGTAGAGCATCCTGCCTCGGATCACCTTCAGGTTCTCAAACACACTGAGGTTACTCCACTCCTCTGGCCAGGCTTCGATGTACAAATAATCTGCAGAGCAACATCAGATGCATGGAGAATTTACGAAACACTTCTTCATTGTTCTTCATTGGTGAAATGCTTTATTTATATTTACATAACATGGTTCAATTAAAAAAAAACTAATAGTAATAACCGGATTTTATTTTCTAGGTCAAAGCTTCACCAAGCACTTTCTCCCTGTTCTCCTCACTGTTCCGTACCCGTTATCTCCTCCAGGTTCTTGAAGCTGCGCAGGTGCTCGAAGGTCAGACCTGATGTGTTGCTCGCAGGGTCACTGGACAACGACAGCATTATGTTTAAATCACCATTTTCACACAGCAAGAGGCAATAAATAACATCAACGTGAAGCTGCCATTGGTGGTTACTAAAGGAGCCACGGTCGTACGGCTTGGGTTGAGTTAATGACTTTTATTTTGTCATTTCTTAATAGCCTTTGTGAACTGTATTCATGGTTATATATTTGACCGGTTTGTATCTTACCTTGCAAAGCTCTGGGGGAGGAAGGCCAGACTACCGAAAATCTTCTTACACTTGTTGAACTGCTCCACATTAGCCGACGTTACCATGGCGATGCCTTGGTTGTCAATGGCCCCCTGGTTGTCCGAACCCAGACCGTAGCACACTGCGAGACGAACCATGAGAACGGATTATAACCAATTTATTTTAAATCCAGAAATAAGGCTGTGCCCACCGAGGATGTTTAATTTGACAGGAAAAGAAAATCAAATTCATGGAACACAATTTTGGATCATGTGACAGCCGGCGTCCGTCCCACAGAGCCGGATTACCGTGTAAGCTACATTAAAAACAACAAGGTGCTGCAGAAACAAGTTTGTTCACTTTGCGCCATCGTGAGCATGTGACGCATCGCAACGTCAGCGCCAGATGACTAAGTCTTCGCGACACGTCACCTTAATGGCTCCCTGATAAAAGAGCCACTGAGTATTGTGTTTAATGGGACTTCTACCTTTGGGACAGTCTCCTTCACACTTTTCACATTTCTGCATCTCGTTTCCATCGGGGTTCTTGACGACAACTTCCTGGTTGGCTTTGGGACAATTCAAAGTACAAGCCACCTCCATGGCCAGATAGTTATCTGCAGACAGGGGGACAAAAGGGTTCAAAGGGCGTCTTTGCTGCAAAAAGAAAATTAACTAGGTAGGTATGATGAACCGGGAAGCCGGGAGCCTCAAGCGTTAAAAGTAGCAGGGATTTCGTTGTGATTCTTCCAGGTTTTAATTCCTTGAATTCCAGGAATCTGAATAAATCATCCACGTCTCCTCCATCAAAGCTCTGTTCAAAATGAGTTCTCACAGGGACACGTCTTGACGCAGGTGGCTCCAAAGTTGAACTTCCTGTTGGGGTTGATTTTGATCTGATAGGTGACGGGGTCGTAGATCGTTGGCGGCGGGCAGTTCTCCTTACACACGCCGCTGTCGTTGAAGTGGCGGCAGGCCTGGGGACAAGAGGGACAGGAAAACGCGTAACCCCAGGAGACGAGCTGACGGAGAGCGCAACAGGTGCGGAGTGCGTGTGGGAGTTTGTGTTTTTTACCAGGCAGTCCAGGTCTTTGGGTCCGGTGCACCCAGCAGCACACTGCATGTGACAGCAGTCATGAGCATTGGGGCCTTTACAGCGCTGACAGCCGGACGCACAATTAATACGGGTCACTGTGAACGAAGGCGACAGAGTGAACACTTTCGGCCGTACTTTTGCAATGAGTGTCAGCGTCATGCCGACGACGTTCACTCACAGTGCTGGCAGTCCTCCCCAGTTTCTCCCCAGCAGCCCGTCTTACATACGGGGGAACAATTTGGACCTGTGCAGAAAGAGGCCCAGCAGTGAATGAGATGAGAGCTCTGCAGGTATCGGCCGATGCCGCGATGATCTGACATGCGTGTTTGACTGACTTGTCGAAGGGACTGCAATCATCTGTGTCAATCCTAAACAAGTATATACCCTATAGAGCGGATTGCATGGTTCGGCCCTGTTTTGAGTCTGTAAAGGATCGACTCCCTGATTCATGAAAAAGAATCCGTGGAAACAACGGCCATGGCTTAACACACTTTCCTCTGCCGTTTTGTTTTTTCCATTGGCACACAATAAACAAGTTCAATAAGCATCCATCAGCTGCTCACAGTTATTGGCCCGAGGCTGCAGTCGGTGCTTCCCGGCGTGGTCGTTCTTCTCGTCCAAAGTATCCCTCCAAACAATGTTCTGGGGGTCTGGGAAGCACAGCTGGGGGTTGCCCCAAATAAACACGGCACCCAACAGGATCTCTGCAGGGGAGACGACACACAAGGGGGAGGATAGCGAGTCATTGCCGCAGTGGATAACCGCTATCTGAACACCTTTAAAGCCGCAGATGTTTTTTAAATGAGTCAGAACAGATTAAAATCACACAGTCTCAACCCCAGAGGGGTTCACACCGGCTCCGGGCTTCAACTATCCGCCCTCCTGCGCCACCGTCCTACCGGTGAGGCTACGAAGCCGCAGCGTCCTGAGCCCCCGTCCGCCCAGAGTGTTATCCAGCACGGCCAGGGCGTAGCTGGAGTTGTACAGCTGGCTGCCTCTTATGATCCGAAGGTTGTCCAAAGGCAACAGGCTCACGGACACATGAGCCACGAGCACGTAGCCCTGGACCTCCACGATCCCCTGAGGAAGAGGTGGACGAAAAACAAAAAAGGACGAGTAAAGACTGAGTGTAAAAACGAATTGTTCTCTCTTCACTTAAATACGTCTACACGCGTGTGTAGATACCTGTAGGAAGGAGAGGTCGAGGTCTCCATGAAGGTGCGTGATCTCCAGGTGGCCGTGGACGACCTTTGCAGCCGGGTGTAGAGCAGCTTCAGGGTCTTCGTAGTGGTTTTTCCAGGCTGGAGGGCAGGGTCAGTTTCATGTCTGTGCCCAGGCACCACTGCAGCACCAGACAAACCGTCGAATTCCTCCGCATACATTCCCAAAGGTTGAACAAGCTGGATTAGGTTTTTACCGTGAATCCGAAATAGCACATTGGACGCCGGGTCAGCTCCACCTCCAAGCTGCAGCGACCGGACCCGTAACTTACGAAGCAGCTTGAAACACAGACCCACATGCGGCTCCCCCCAGTCTATTAGAGCCAGAATATAGTTTCAACGGGCAGCGATCCCCCACAGTAGGTCTCTCACACACACACACACACACACACACGCATAGTCCCCATGCTTTAGCCAGCCCCCTCCTCCTCTCTGCTGAGATTATAAATTACTTCTTTTGCCCCCCCACCCCTCTTAGAACAGCCAAAAGTCAACACACTTTTCCCGGATAGTAGCCCCCACCCCCCCCCCGTTGCCATCTCTGGAAAAGCACAGCACAAATGTTTCCGAGGAGCAGGAAGTATACCGGCGGGCGGCGGCAGGTATTTTTCCCATGATACCGCGGGGCTCAACAAAGCTGGGATGGTATCTGCTTGAGACGTGCGCTTATCAACACCGGCTTCCTGCTGATGGCGGTGACTCAGAACGCACCGGGTCACGAAGTGCGGATATCACGCGTTACCATTTGACGGCTACAGCAGCCAGAAACACACACGCGGCCGTCGCGTCGAGCATCGACTCGGACGAACTAATCGCGGCCTCCCACGGGCGAAGCCACCGTGGAAAGTAGTTGGGAGGTGTCGGGGGGGGCGTCCAGGGAGCCGTGCTTCCGGCCCCGCGGCGTTTAAAACCATTATTAAAAAAGGACACAACATCCAAATTGGGACTCTGGGATTCGCACCAACCACCCCCCTTTAATCCCCTCATTGTTTGCTCTCCAAGAGTCTCACGGCAGCGTCTGCATACGTGCGTGCCCCCCCCCCATCCCTGTAGCCTAAAATACTCCCTCTTCTATCACTAGCTGCCCAATGCCGTGTCACTGCCGCGGCATTCCTCCCTCAGATGATATCACTGCATTTTATATAGTGCACAAGACGATCTCGTCTTGTGTGTCGTCCACACAGCTGAAGACTGCCACTGACGTCCAAACACACAACTTTAAAACAAAAAAAATAACATCCTATTGGGGCTATTGCAGCTTCCATCGGTCACATGCAAAAAAAAAACAGACGGGAGAAGGTCGCACCTCCTACTCATACGTCATTTGCATTTATTAAGTTGTGTATTTGTGTGACATCAGTCATCAGAATGAACACAGGCTCGTATCCCGTGATTGGATCTTAATCTTCGAACTGCGTCTCACACCAGCGCTTCTGGGGAACAGACCGCAAATCTGAAAGCCAGCTTCAGGCCACACCTGTGTGTGGCAGCGGGCCAGGTAGTGCCTAGGGAGTGTGCGTGTTTACCAGTGTGTGTGTGTGTGTGTGCTGTAAGTGACAGAAAGACAGTTGAGACTGAGCCGTGGTGGAAAAGCCTGCAGCGTGACACACCGGACCCGGACCCCCCCCCCCTCGGGCCTCTGGATTAGATCCCTCCGAAGCGCGACGCAAACACAACTGTGCGAATCCAGCAGGTTCATTAAGACTCAGATTTGACGCGTCAGTCCAGATTTTAACACAATGGCAGCATAAACGTCAAACCCTCCCCCCCCCACAAACCTCATAGAAAACATTCTTTCTTCCTCTTCACTCCACGAATGAAGACGGAAAAAACCCAAACAGGTATTGCTCAACAGACGAGTAGAACAGGATCAGTACTGAACTGGAGAGACACACACTCACACACACCCGCGATGCTACACAAACACCACTGCTTTAGAATGTCTCCTGCATACTTTTATACATTTTGAAAAATTAAAAAAAAGCAGTAGTTGTATACGGACACACTAAGTATATTTGCAGAAATCTGTCTGCATGAACCTTGAAACTCTAATTAATTCAGGTACTAGATTTAAATCTAAAAACCTGAATACAAAATCTATCAATATTGTCTAGATGCATTGATTCATGAACTAATGCTGGTATATTACCCAAACAAACCTGGACGATCACAGTATTCAACACACAGGTATCGATAAACTGTATTGTAGGTTTATTGGAATGAACTCTGCGGTTTTCAAATACGCTGCAGTGACTCTCAGCTCGCTTACAGGAGAGTCACGGCCGGCTGAGCTAACCGGTAAGGTCTTAACCGCTTCCCAGTGAGTTCAGCTCGTTGGGGGCGCTGGAGTGTGACAACGACACGAAGCCTGTGGACACCAGGAGCACACAAAACACACAAAACACACAGCGTGTTCTCACACGGGAGCAGCCTGGTGGAATAATGGGTCGAGAACACGGAAAGAAAAACACGCAAGACAACCGCTGACCTTTGGAATCACAAACAGCTCGGCCCCAGGATGTGTGTGTGTGTGTGTGTGTGTGTGTGTGTGCGTGCGTGTGCATACAAAAACAATACTTTACTACTGAAAGTAGAACTTGTTGCACGACTTCTGCAGCGATCCCACTAAACTGACGCTTTACGGATGGACTAAAGTGCTCCGGCCTGTTCACACCAACAACACGGCTGTGTTTGGAAATGTCTGTGTCTGTGTGTGTGTGTGTGTGTACGTAGTGGTCAACAAACGCTGTCAAGTGCGTGTCAATAATGTCAGTTATTGATTTAAATGTGCCTAACGTATTAAATGCTTTTAACATCTCATGCTGACACAAATCTGATCATTGTTGTCGTGGGGGAGAAATAAACACACCATGTTCGGACCGCTTTCTTTTCTTCAGCATTTCATTAAACACCAAGCGCATGTTGCTCAAACTTTTTCAGCCCCGATAAGTGGAGAAAGTTTAAAATGCACGACTATTCTCAAAGAAATGAGATCCTATGCAGATAAAATAGAAAACGCGCTTTCGCAGAGCATCGTCGTGCATCTTCTACAAGATGCAACTAAGGGGGAAATGTGGGATTATCCTGCAAATACGCGCGTGTCTATCAGACAATGTCCTGCGCGGAGCCTCGGGACAATAATTGACATCGTCATGATCCCCGACGCACAATGCCGCGTTTCTTGTTGTTGTTGTTGTTGTTGTTGAAGCGTGGAGCAAACCAGCCCGACGTCTCTCGGTGTCTCTCGAGCTGCAAAGCAGGTTCCCCAAAGTGTCTCACCTGTTCCTCCACCAGCCGTCCTGCCACTCGTATTACTGCTAGTACTACTAGTACTACTAGCAGTAATACGAGTACTACAGCGCGCAACAAAGTGTGCTCCTCGGGCCTCGGGGGAGGCTACTTTAGGGGCTACTTTGTGACAGGTGGGATTAGGAATGCGGTGTCGTCGACAGACATCTCTCCCCCTATCCCCCACACACACATACACGCGCACGCGCGCACACACACACACACACATACGCATATATACACACACACACAACACCCCCCCCTCCTTCACCCGGGGGCCATTAGAGCCGTGAAGAGTCACCCACCTTCTCTCCCCAACGCGCCCGTCGCCGCCAGCAGCGCGGCCCCGACCAGCACCAAACTTCTCGCCGCCTCCATCTGCTGCGGCCCGGCGCCTCTAGTCCATGTCCCGGTTCCGAGTTTCCTTCTGCCCCCCCCCACCACCACGACCACCACCACCCCGAGGACGACTTTGTCCCGGTCCTTCCCTCTGTGCCGCCCGGCCTCGGCTTCCTTATCCCGCTTTTTCCTTTTAGTTGTCGCGCGGCTCTGAATCTCAGCGACTTCCTCCCTGGAATTCTCGTGCCTGTCGGTTGCGGAGCGTGACAGCGCGCCGGAGCGGACGCGCGCTCCCAGCGAGCCCAGAGCGGGGATGGCCAGGTAGCTTGGACCCGCCCCTCTCTCAATTCCTCTGGTGCAGGGTTTGCGAATTCTTTAAATGTGACATTTCAGCCCCTCTTTTGTAGAGAGAGATGTGCCGGTTGTGACATATAAGTATAAAGTGTCTCTGTACCCCCCCCCCCCCCCCCCCCAGATGATTTAGTGACATCACAACTAGTTTTGAGAGATTAGGAAAACATTTTGTGTTATTGCACTACTGATATAAAATATATTTGTGTATTTGTTAATCTTGGATTATTTATAAAAGTTGTGCAATAAGTTTCTAGCTCCTATGTGTTGCTTAGTTTTTATTTACCACTATGGAGCCGGTAATGATGCAACAATATCTGATGTGTCACGTCATGTGTGCAGAGTCCTGGACAAATTTTCTCATGTCAACAAATAAATTGTACCCTATTGTACCATTGCCCAGGACATTTTACCTCCAAATAAAAAATGTTACTCAACACAGATGATCTTTTCCGCTCAGTACGCGCAAAGCCGATGAAGGAACACGTCATGAAATATGAACCAATATAATAATAGTTATAACGATCTGGGTGAGGAAGATTGTTTCAAAGCCAAACAACTTTTATTTTTATCCATTAGCATTAGCCCTCCTATCAGCATATTAATCAGTATGCTGTTCATGTGTTCCAATTCAACGTGGAGTGGTGACTTCATTGAAAGCGAGCTGTTATCCGTTTCACCGGAGCATCTTCATACTTCTCACGCCCTTCACTTTCACCGTCACAAATCAGGAGGTTAAGGAGGAAGAATAAACTCCATTCATCCAAATCTAAGGCCTCTCCCCACCCACAGCAGCGAGGGGTCAGAGTCCGAGCTGCCGCACGGAGCTGTGAGGAAACAACATCAGGCTCCTCGCTGAGCCGTTCACAGACCCGGTCGAAAACCTTCCACAGAGTTTGCTGCTGCAGCAAAAGCAATAAAAACAAATGTCATGGTGAGTTTTCTCGGATAAATTTGGCGTGTAGAAACATGTGAGTCGTGGCATTATGAGGTTGTGCGTTTCGATGCATTTTCTGCACTGATTATCACTGTTCAGTGCAATAAATACACTTAAACTATAAGGCCTGCAGGGTTGCAGAAACTTGAATATTCATCAGCGTCTGTTTTGTGGTTAGCAAGTGGGTGAGAGGTGTTTGCAAGCGATACAGCCCTGAGACAACTACACAGACTGCAGGAACACGCAACACAGGCGAAACAGAGGCGCGTTTTGGACAATGAATATATGACACGTTCACTTGCTCACTTACATCAGCAGGAGGAATTTGTCTCAGCGACATTAGAGACATAATAACTACGTACAAAGAATTTGCGAACGTGATACTGGCACAACTGGTACAAGGTCAGCAGGACCTTCGCCCTCCCCTGCAAGAGGGGCGGCATGAATCAGAGACGGGACGTTTCTTTTTAAGTGGGGGGGTGGGGGGGGGGGTTTAGAAAACGAGGAATACATTGCCTTATTACACCAGTGCTTTTACATTGTTGACTTGTGGGGCTTTTGAGTTGTGATGAGTTTGACGCAGTTCCCCTCTATTATTCTAAATCGTTTTAAACAGCTATTTGATGCACAAAAGAACCATTTACAGATTTGTGGAGCAGAAGTATTTCATTTCTTCTCACCTCTATGCTGGAGCCGTCGGAGGAAACCGCAGCAGGTAAGCGTGTTGTGGTCTTAATCCAACTGATATGTACCAAAGAGCCGAGAGGTTCTTAAAGGAGAAACTTAGCCGCTGCAACGTTTCCCGTAGACACGTACAGTAGATATTTTTCCCTCATGTCGACCAATACTTATCATTGGGAACCACTAACACAGAATCGCTTAGGAAATGTATCACATTCACGGGATAAGCTGCTCAATTCTTTTTCAACAAAGGAACTTTTTATTGACTTTTTCTTCAAATATCAGCTGTGAGGTGGAGGAAAGAGCTTCAGGTCGGAGAGGAGATGCTTCAGTGGGCAGCGGATGAGTTAATCTTCTTTTTGAGCGTTCAGACGAATGAATGAATGCCAGTAATTAACAAACATCACTGCAACTGAAAATAGGAATGGTGGGCAAATAATAATAATTACAATATGCACAGTAAAATGTTTCTTTTCTCATAAGCAAAGTATCTCTGGCACGATGTCAGCAATCATTTTGCCAACCAAACCTCTGCCCCCCCTTCCGGTCAGCAATTCTAAATTTACCCATCGTCGCGCAGGCGCACACGGTAGCTTCACAAATGGATCCAGAACAATCTCGCTGACAATCACACAATTTAGTTTGCGATGGCAAAAGCAACACAATGTGGAGTCAAGGCGACGGGTACACACATTCTGTACAGGTCATTGTTGTCACACACAAATACAAAAGCACGCACCTAAATGTTCACACACACACACACATACGTAAAGTGCACATATGCAAGGGAACCGCTGAGGGATGAACACACACATTGTATGAATGATTTTGGTGACGGTTTGATGAAAGAAGAGCGGTTCTCATGTCAGGCCGGTTTGATACGACATCAAAGGCAGACAAGAGTGACGGGGGCTTTTAGACATGGTGGGGCAGTTATCTGAACAGCAGCTGGTTTTGTGCGTGTGTGTGTATCATTCTGAGGATCAGAACAGCAAGGAATGAAGACCACAGGATAGGCAACCAACAAACACCGTAACACTCAATCTCACACACACACACACACACACCACCTAAAATTTATTAGAAACTCTTGATGCTGAAAAAGCGTCCGAGCTTCCTCTCAAAGCTCATTTCTCCTTCCTCAATTATTGTCTCCCACTACAAGGCAATCCAGGTGAATGAAAAGTGTATTTTCATTTTGTGAACATCCGCCACATCCCACCCACCAAAAAATAATCGAGTCAAAGGGGGAAAAACCGTTAAGAATAAAGCACGTGGATTGGTCAATGATAACAGAGTTAAAACAACAAAGGCAGCTGA